GCCTTGGAAACCTCCAAGGACTTCACAACCAAACAAGTGTAATAAAAGCTACAAATCCTAAAATAAATGCAATATCCTAAAGCAATTAAACTAACATGAAGTAAATAACAGAAAATAACAGAAAATAAAGATTAAATTCACAGACAACAGAAAAAGTAAAATAACAAACAATGATTTTAACTACACAGCCCATAATAATAACTACAACTGAAGAAGAAACTATAAAATGATAAAGTCTGGAAATTGGAATTAAACAAACTGCATGTCTGGATATTGTGCAGAAACAAAAGAACAAAGATAGAAGATGTTCAACATATTTATATGAACGAATAACATAACTAAATCCATAAAAGGAAGAAGAACTAACCGAATCAAAAGGGCAGACCTGTTTTGAAGGCTAAGTTGCTTCCAAATGCTTAAAAATTAATCTAAATTGGAATTTGCTGAAGAAAATATGAACAAAGATGAACAAATCTAGGCTAAGGCTATGAACTAATTTGGAAAATCTGAAAAATCTGGAAACTATTGCTAAAATTTGAAAAATGCGGTCTGAAAGCTGAAAAACATGCTCTGAGCAGTCTGTGTGTGTTGGGCAGGCCTTGAACTGTTCTCTTCTCTCGGTTTTTGTTTCCTTCGATGCTGGTAACCTCCTCCATGATCTTCTCCATGATTTTCAGTACTGTTCCTCCATTTTCGGCATTGTTCCTCCATGATCTGGTGATGGGATTGCATGTCTGACAGTTATTTAATAGTTATCTGATTTTTATTTAACCTTATCTCCAACAACCTTAAAGATAACTACCTAAAAATCCTCAATTTCCCATTTTAAATCAAACTCAAACTACTAGATCCAATCTTATCTTCTGCCACCTAAGATCCAACCTCCTTGAAAATCCGTCTGAACCATTAAATTGTAAGCCAGCCCAACCCAAATCCAGCCTATTGATTTTCTTGATGATTGGGCTTTATCTTGACACGTGGCCTTACCCTATTGGTTTATTTTAGGTGTAAACAATAACTTTATTAAATTTATCATATAATTATTATTAGACATTTTAGTATTTTAATATTAAGTCGCATCGAATTTTTCTTTTATATATATATATATAAAGTTATGATCAACTTACATTATGTAAATATTACACTAAATCTCGATAACTCATTATGAAATTTTAAAAATTAATAAAATATTTGAGTTCTTAAAATAACCATTTAAATTTAAAAATGTGACTCAAAATTAATGTAAGAGTTTCTTAAAATTTACACTAGTAATTCGGAAAATGGCACAGAAGAACAGATGGTGCAAGATAATCCAATTGTGTTTACTTTAATTGTTAAAAATAATTAATAAATGACAAACAACTGATATTTATTATTTAATAAATTAAAATTAATTTATAAATTGATATTTTTAAATATCATAATTTAATTGTTAAAAAAAAAAAAGAAAAACTAAAAACCCTATTACTCAGCCACCGTCTCTTAAAAGAAAAAACCCTAACCACATTGATTGCTTTGCCCATCCAATGGTACGTGGGGTTTTTCATTGCTTTTTATCTATCCTTTTGTATATGCTGCTTCGTCCATTCGTTTACAAGGGTTTGTGCTACTTATGATGCAGCTGTATCCCTCTCTTAGTGAGGATTTGTGGCACCCTACGGTGCAGTTTTATGCCCCTGCAAGTGGGATTTAGTATTGTCCTTAGGATGGTGCTATCCCTTTAATGGTAGGGTTTATTTCGTTTTGTGATATGGTGGATAAAATTTTGTTGCAACTTTTAGATTCTATAAGTGTGATTGTAAATTTTTATTTCGAACCATTTAAAGTTGTAATTGGAAAGAAATCTTCGATTTCTTTAGTTTTAGATAAATGTTAAAAAAATGACTTATTAATTTTTATAAAAGATGCTTGGAAGTGATTATTTTAAATTAAAAATTATTATTTGGTTATAAGATTCTATGGTATCCAATGTATCATATTGAATATTTGATGGTTAAAAAAATAAATAATTGCTCACATATATTTATTTAGTTATTTTTTTAATTTATTTAATTTGTTGAATTATTTTGTACTTTAAAAACATATTAACCATAGTGTTAAAAAATTATAAATTATTATATTACTTTTGAATGGAGCAAAATCGAATCATATTCCTTTCAATACAAAATGGGTTTTTTTTTTTTTGAAACATGGGGAATTATAGAAGAATGGATAATTTTTAAATAATTAGTGAAAATCAAATTCTTAATCAATTTAACTTAAGTATTTAAGATTTATGAACAAATTATTAAAAAAAAAATCCTGGTTGAAATTATCATTTTCCTTAAATGAAAGAAAAACTAAAAGCTAATAAAATACCCATCAAATCAAATAAAATTTGTATGATCTTGGACAAAGTAACGTGCAGCGACAGCCTCACACCCGTAGTGGAGAAGAAAAGGTTGAATTTTGGTAAGGGGTCATAATGGCAAGTCTGGATTTGCAGTGGAAAGTGGGTACTCAGGTGGCCAGTTTCTTAATAAGGTAAAGGAGCTTTTCCTATATTTTTGGCCAGTGGCGAAGAGCGAACTCAAAAAAATCATCATCCAAAAGCTTTTCTTTCTGCTACCTTCGTTCTTGTTCCTACAAATTGTTTTCAGGACTGATTTTATTTTCCTTTCTCTGTTTTCCTTTGGTTTCGATGGCACTGTGTCTTCAACATGGCGGCCTTTTCTTTCCCAAGTTTAAATCCTCACCCAATAAAAGAAAAACTGTTTTGGCGCGCACTTTCAACGGTCATGAGTCTTCTCCTTCCTCTTCCAATGGCTCTCTTTCCGTAAGACAGAAGAAAACTGTCCCAGGTTCTGTCCATCTCTTTCTCTTTTCTCTTCCCCTTGTTACCCCTTATAATTCCTTTTAACTTTGAAATGGGTTTTTGTCTTCATAATTCATATGCCTGAATTGTTCCTATTCACCCTTGTTGCATTCTCCTTGACTTAGATTCCTTGTGGTGGAAGATTATTATTATTTTTTTTTATGAAGGGGTTGTATCATGATTTGCAGGGAAGCCAGAGGCTGATGTTGTTGTGATTGAGAGTGGTATTGGGGGGCTGTGCTGTGCAGGACTTCTAGCTAGATACCAGCAGGACGTCCTTGTACTGGAAAGTCATGACCAACCTGAGGGAGCTGCTCATGCTTTTGAGATTAAAGGCTACAAATTTGATTCTGGGCCATTGTTGTTCTCTGGTTTGCAATTAAGAGGTCCTCAAGCTAATCCCCTTGCTCAGGTATTATTGCTTTTTATCCTTTTTCTTATTAGCATTGTGTTTTGGGTGTCACAGGTTTGATTTTTATTTTAGCTTGCCTATTACTCCATTTTGTCAATCTTGTTTCAAATAATTATTGGTTTTACATAATTTCTTGTGGCATACAGGTTCTAGATGCTTTAGGTGAGTCAGTTCCGCGTGCAAAGTATGACTCCTGGATGGTTTATATACCTGAATGTGAATTCCTTTTAAGGACTGGCCCAACTGAATTTTACGAGGTGAAAATTTTGTGCTTGATTTTAAAGATTTTATCCATCAAACTTCTTGTCACATAAGCAAATCTGGAGAATTGATTATTACTCTTATAGCTTTAGGTACAAGTGGAATACATGAAGATTTTAAAACAAGAAATTGGAGGAATATACATAGTAAATACACGTACATTGACCTGTTTTAGGGTGAAACTTTTGGGTGAAATTATTAATTGAATATTGGTTTGATTTGTGCATTCTTTTCAGGACCTAGAGAAGAATGTAAGCCGGAATGCTGTTCAAAAATGGAAAAAACTCCTTGTGGGTACCATTTGTTAGACTTATAACTGTCAACATTTAAGACTTACATCCAAGACTAACTGTTATTTCTATGGCTTCTGGTTCAAAGAACCGACACCAAGCCAAAAGTTTGACTTATCATTGTTAATCCTCTTTCTGATAAAGTTAATCTCTTTAGGTCACCAATATCCTTTTATCAAACTGTAACTCTCTAAAGAACTTCCTCCAATCTTGATTGTTGATAAATGATAACCTATCAGAAATTTGGGTTGTAGCCGTGGGATCCATGTTGAAATTTGACTACAATTTGCAGGTTATATATATGCAGTTTCTTGCTTTAAACAAAAACTTGATCGAATGTTGCAGGATGCAATACTTTCATTATCTGCCGCTGCAATGGCTCTACCTCCTTTATCTATGAGAGGGGATCTGGGTGTTCTTTCCACTGTTGCTGCTCGGTATGCCCCCTCCCTACTGAGATCCTTTATTGAAATGGGACCCGGGGAGCTCTTGGTGCTACTAAGCTTTTTCGTCCCTTCTCAGAAATTATAGACTCATTGGAGCTGAAGGACCCTTTTATAAGAAATTGGGTGGATCTTCTGGCTTTCATTCTTGCAGGGGTGAAATCTAATGGTGTACTTTCAGCAGAGATGGTAATTATAAGATATCAACTTAAATTTAATATTAGTTTTTCCATCTGTCCTACTAAATCTGCATTTTATGAGAGAAGACACCTTTTGTGTTTATATTTTCTGCAAAAATGGTGTGGCAGCACATGATTGTACTTGAGAATCTGACTTGATACTTGCAATCCAATTTTTCAGGTTTATATGTTTGCTGAATGGTACAAGCCAGGATGCAGTCTGGAGTATCCTCTTCATGGAAGGGGGGCTATAATCGATGCCCTTCTACAAGGAATAGAGAAGTTTGGAGGACGAGTTTCTCTATTTAGTCATGTGGAAAAAATTGTTGTTTAAAGTGGTAGAGCCACTGGAGTCATGATAAGAGGCGGTCAAGTGAGTACATAACGTGTAATAGAGTAAAAAATAAATTCACCTACGTCAAAGTATACCTCCCGCAACTGTTATGGACTGAAGAATGCTGCAGTTCATACGTGCAAAAAAGGCTGTTGTCGGCAATGCATCTATATGGGACACTTTAAACCTCTTACCCAAGGAAGCTGTTCCAAACTCATACATGGAAAGGGTTAGCAGGACACCTCAGTGTGAATCATTTATGCAATCTTCATTTAGGCTTTGATGCAGAGGTAAGAAGTCCTCTGATTTTCGGCCTCGTTGTTTGATTTATCTTTATGCATCTTGCTGACTGCCTTATAATGTGAAAACGCCAGGGCATTCGTGAGGATTTGGGGATTCATCATACTGTTGTGAATGACTGGGAAAGAGGAGTTGATGTTGATCAAACTGTTGTTTTAATTTCTGTTCCCAGTGTACTTAGCCAAGATCTAGCACCACATGGGAAGCATATTTTACATGCTTGTACTCCAGGGACTGAACCTTTTGAATTGTGGGATGTACTTGATCGTAGAAGTTCTGAGTACAAAAAGCTCAAATCTGAACGATCAGAGGTACGTACTTCTAATGTGCTTGTTGGCATTCCTTTTCATACACTACTTGTAATGATTTTCACAACAATTTTTCTTCTAGACTCAGTTTACCTTATTATGTAGGCCTGGTTCCGTCTGGAAGCATGTCTAATCCTAATGCTTTTCTTGAGCCAGGTATTGTGGAGAGCTGTTGAACGTGCACTTGGCCCCGGTTTCAGCAGGGACAACTGTGAGGTGAAGCTGGTAGGAACCCCTCTAACACATCAAAGGTTTCTCAGGAGGAATAGAGGAACTTATGGACCAGCCATACAAATTGGCAAAGACTCTTTTGTTGGCCATTCAACACCTATTCCACAGCTCTATTGCTGTGGCGATTCTACCCTTCCTGGCATTGGAGTTCCTGCTGTTGGTGCTAGTGGCGCTATTGTTGCAAACTCACTAGTCCCCATTTCTCAACACTCCCAACTTCTTGATGCCATTGGAATTTGAACACATATTGGGGTGGATACACGCTTATCTACTCTTGGCCTTTTCATTGGACCACTCCACCTCTCAAAACTTATCAAATCCACCGTCTGTTTTCTTTATGGGGACTAAAAACTCATTAATCTAAGTGAAAGGTGGAGGACCACTTGAATGGTCCTATATTCTTGAAATGTATACAGATTGAACTACTCAAGAAAAATTTTTTTTCCTTTTTGTGAACTCTAAGCATGCAAACAAAGATGGGTGGAGCAAGGCGACATGTCATGGGTTCCACAATCTTTGCTTGTAATTATTCCTAGATTCTCCTTGCACTTTCTTTCAAATCTTATCCTTGCTTTTCAATTTAAGCCTTTTGTTTCAATAATATAAATTTAATAAAAGTTTATTGATAATTAAGACGCATATAAAATTTTTGCTTAAAAAAAATAATTATAAAATAATTTTTTATACATAATTTTTTCAAGTTTAATATAAATCATTCGTCTTTAATTAAATTGAAGAAACAAGTTAATATCATACACTCAAATTAAGCAAAAGTGCCATCAAATGATTAGGAGAGAGCTTTTAACTAGGTAGAGCTAGTGGTTTCCTTTACAATAGTTTGGCACTTAAGGGCTCAGATTTGAGCCCCACCCTCTTCCCTTTCCCCTTTTAGATTTAGTTAAAATCGGCTTAGGAAAAAATGAAAAAAAAAGAAAAAAACAAACAAACAAAACAATTAAGAGAGAAAGAGACTTCATGCAATTTGTACCAGAAATACATGGTTGAACCATGCTCTCTCCTTTGTTTGTTTTCAAGAGAAAAGATAAGTTGAGTAATTTGGAAAATGACAAAGAAGTCAACAAAAACAGATGGTGGAAGATGATCCAATTTGATCAAGAGTAGGTTTCAGATGATCTGTCATGGAGGACCAAGTCACCTGGTCCTGTGTGGCTTTGAAGTGCCACATGTCAAGTGACATGCATGAGAGAAATCATGTGGGTGTGCTTTTGGTGGGGAACGTTGTTGAAAGCTGGCTTAATTTCTTTTGCTTTCAGTGTGGCCACGTGACCATCAAGAATTAGAAATTGACATAAAAAGATAAAATTAAAAGTGCAGTTTGTATATAATAATTGATGAGTAACTAGTTTTTTAATATTAAATTGAACTCATTTTTATTTTATTTTATTTTTTTAAACATTTAACCATGATTGACTCAAACTGTTACCCTTAGAAGAAAGATATGAATCCTATAAAAGTGGTTAAAACCACTTAACCCACGGGCATCAAGGTTCAATTGAATTCACTTTTATTGATAGTTATAAATTATATAATTTATATGAGAACTGATAGCAAAACAGCAAATCTAAAAGTAAAATTGGTGCACTTTTTTTGGGGACAGAAATAGGATTTTTGCCCTATTGTTGCGCTTATCTTGTCAATCAAATGCAAACCA